TAACCTGGAGGAGGGGGTGTATTTGTGTCGGTACATGATGTCATAATGGACTCTATGAGGTCACAATGGGGTCCATGATGTCACATTGGCATCAATGATGTCACAATGGGGTCAAAGTTGGATCCATGATGTCATAATGTGCTCAATGAATTCACAATGGGGTCCATGATGTCATAATGGAGTACATGATGGCATAATCGACTCTATTAGGTCACAGTGGCGTACATGATGTCACATTGGCATCAATGATTTCACAATGGGGTCACAATGCAGTCAATGATGTCAATGATGTCACAACTGGGTCAATGGTGACACAATTGGGTCCATGATGTCATAATGGGGTACATGATGTCATAATGGACTCTATGAGGTCACAATTGGAGTCCAGGATGTCCCAATGGGGTCCATGATGTCACAATGGGGTCAAAATGTGGTCAGAATGGGGTTAATGGGTTCACAATGGTGTCAATGATATCATCATTGTGTCAATGAGGTCACAATGGGGTCCTTGATGTCACAATTGGGTCAACAATGTGACAATGGCATCAATGATGTCACAATGGGGTGACAATGTGTTCAATGACATCACAATGGGGTCCATGAAGTCACAATTAATTCCTTGATGTTATAATGGACTCTATGACGTCACAATGGCATCCATGATCTCACAATGGGGTCCATGATCTCACAATGGGGTCCATGATGTCATAATGGCATCAATGATGTCACAATGCAGTCACAATGGTGTCAATGATATCATAATTTGGTCAATGATGTCACAATTGGGTCTATAATGTCACAATGGGGTCCATGATGTCACAACTGGGTCCATGATGTCAGAATGGCATCAATGATGTCACAATGGGGTCAAAACGTGGTCAATATTGTCTGAATGGGGTTAATGGGTTCACAACGGTGTCAATGATATCATCATTGTGTCAATGAGGTCACAATGGGGTCCATGATGTCACAATGGGGTCAATGATGTCACAATGGCATCAATGATGTCACAATGGGGTGACAATGTGTTCAATGACATCAAAATGGGGTCCATGAAGTCACAATTGGTTCCATGATGTTATAATGGACTCTATGAGGTCACAATGGCATCCATGATCTCACAATATGGGGCTATAATGGGGCTCTATGGGGCTATAATGGGCTCTCTGAGGCTATAATGGGGTTCTATGGGGCTCTATGGGGCTCTAATGCTCTCTGTGGGGCTATAATGGGGCTCTGTGGGCATATAATGGGGCTCTATGGGGCTATAATGGGCTCTCTGAGGCTATAATGGGGTTCTATGGGGCTATAATGGGGTTCTGTGGGGCTGTATGAGGCTAGAGTGGGCTTTTATGGGGCTATAATGGAGGTCTGTGGGCCTATAATTGAGCTCTATGGGGCTAGGATGGGTCTGTGTGGGTCTCATTCTCCCCCCAGCCCCATGGCGGACGTGGCCTTCAAGGGGGCCACATCCTGGAGGTGGAGTTGGAGGGGGCGGGGCTGGGGAGCCGAGGGGGTGGGGCCAGTGACAAAGAGGGAGGGGACGAGGAGGAGGAAGAGGTGGGGGGGGTGGGGAGGAAGAGGCCGAGGCCGGGACCGGGGGGCGGGGAAGCTGCAGGCGTTGGGCGGGAGATCGAGCAGGTGAGGACACGCCCCCTTTGGACACGCCCCCTTCAACCCAAGCTCCACCCTATTTAGGGTTTTGGCGCCCCCCCATTGGATAGGATGGGAGGTTTAGCTCCGCCCCCTTACCCAGGCCACGACCCCCTCCAATTGGCCAGCCCTTCTTCACTTTGGCCATGCCCCTCTTATGCCCAAGCTCCACCCCATTGAGGTCCTGGTACCCCCCATTGGATAGGATGGGAGGCTTAGCTCCGCCCCCTTACCCAGGCTGGGCCCCCTTTCTGTATTGGCCACGCCCACCTTATGCCCAAGCTCCGCCCCCTTTGAGGTCCTGGCACCCCCTCCCCTTGGATGGAATGGGAGGGGTTTCTCCGCCCCCTTTTCCCATGCCTCCTTAAGCCCAAGCTCTGCCCCCTTTGAGGTCCTAATGCCCCCCATTGGATGGGATGAGAGGGATGGCTCCGCCCTTTATCCACGCTGCAACCTCCTTCCCCTTTGGCCATGCCTTTAAGCCCAAGCTCCGCCCCCTTGAAGGTGTTGATGCCGCTGATTGGATGGGAGGGTTGGCTCCGTCCCATTTGGCCACGCCCCCTTAAGCCCAAACTTCAACCCCTTTGAGGTCCTGTTGCCCCCCATTGGATGGGATGGGAGGGTTGGCTCTGCCCCCTTACCTCTTTGGCCACGCCCCCTTAATCCCAAGCTCCGCCCCATTGATGTGATGAAGGCTGGCTCCTTCCCCTGGTCTAGGCCACGCCCCCTTTGGCACACCCCTTTTGCCATCCTTCCCCCTCTCCCGCTTTAGCCCCACCCCCACAGGTCAATGATTGGTCGCTGTTGAGACTCTGCCAGGTCACGGAGTCCAGGTGAGAAGGGGGCGGGGTCAGCGCGGGGCCACGCCCCCTTCCCCACTCCCGTTGCCACGCCCCCCACCCCTCGCTGACAGCTTCCAGCAGGGACAGCTCACAGCGCTGCTGCAGGGGGGCCATGGGACCCATAGAGAGCATAGAGACCCATAGGGGCCCATAGAGACCCATAGAGACCACAGGGACACATAGGGACCATAGAGACCCATAGGGACTCATAGAGACCCATAGGGGCCCATAGAGACCCATAGAGACCACAGGGACACACAGGGTCCATAGAGACCCATAGGGACCCATAGAGACCCATAGGGGCCCATAGAGACCCATAGAGACCACAGGGACACATAGGGACCATAGAGACCCATAGGGACCCATAGAAAGACATAGGGACCCATAGAGACCCATAGAGGCCCACAGAGACCACAGGGACACATAGGGACCATAGAGACCCATAGGGACCCATAGAGAGACATAGGTACCCATAGGGACCCATAGAGAGTGTAGAGACCCATAGGGGCCCATAGAGACCCACAGGGACCCACAGAGACCCATAGAGATCATAGAGACCATAGAGACCCATAGGGACCCATAGAGATCACAGAGGCCATAGGGACACATAGAGACCATAGAGAGCCATAGAGAGCCATAGAGACCACAGAGCCCCACAGATACCGGAAGAGTCCCATAGAGCCCCACAGAGCCCCTATAGAGCCTCCCAGATATATTACAGCACTCCATAGAGGCCCATGGCACCCCATAGCAACCAGTACAGACCCACAGTGACCCATACAGACCCATAGAAATGAGACTCGGAGAGCCCCATAGCACCCACATAGAGCCCCATAGAACCCACACAGAGCCCCATAGAACCCACATAGAGCCCCATAGCAACCACATAGAGCCCCTTAGACCATTTATAGATCCTCCACAGACCCTCTATAGAGCTCCATAGCACCACACAGACACCCCATGGAGCCCTATAGACAGCCCCATAGCACCCCATAGACACCCATAGCTACTCCATAGCTCTCCATAGACACCCATAGCACCCCATAGCCACCCATAACACCCCATAGACCCCAAAGGTAGGATCAATGGGGGGCAATGGGGATCAATGGGGGCAATGGGGGGGGGCAATGGGGATCAATAGGGTTCAATGGGGATAAATGGGGGGGCAATGGGGTTCAATGAGGTTGGGGGGTCAATGGGATTAGGGGGTCGCTGGGGATCAATGGGGTTAAATGAGGCTGGGGGGTCAACGGGGCTGGGGGGTCAATGGGGTTCAATGGGGATCAATGGGGCTGGGGGGGTCAATGTGGATCAATGGGGGGCAAGGGTGTTCAATGTGGATGGGCGGATCAATGGGGTTCAATGGGGTTGGGGGGTCAATGGGGCTCAATGGGGTTGGGGGCTTAATGGGGTTCAATGGGGCTCAATGGGGTCAATGGGGTTCAATGGGGTCAATGGGGTTCAATGGGAAAAATGGGGTTCAATAGGATCAATGGGATCTCAATGTGTTTCAGTAAGGGCTCAATGGGGTCAATGCAGTTGGGGGAGTCAATGGGGTCTCAATGGGATCAATGTGTTTCAATGGGGTCTCAATGGGGATCAATGGGGTCTCAATGTATCAGTGGGGCCAATGGGTCTCAGTGGGATTCAATGGGGCCAATGGGTCTCAGTGTGTTTCAATGGGGTCTCAATGGGATCAATGTGTTTCAATGGGGTCTCAATGGGATCAATGTGTTTCAATGGGGTCTCAATGGGGATCAATGGGGTCTCAATGTATCAGTGGGGCCAATGGGTCTCAGTGGGATTCAATGGGGCCAATGGGTCTCAGTGTGTTTCAATGGGGTCTCAATGGGCTCAATGGGGTCTCAATGGGATCAATGGGGCCCAATGGAGTCTCAATGTGATTCAGTGGGGTCTCAATGGGATCAGTGGGGCTCAATGGGGATCAATGGGGTCTCAATGGGATTCAATGGGACTCAATGGGGTCTCAATGGGGATCAATGGGGTCTCAATGGGATTCAATGGGACTCAATGGGGTCTCAATGGGGATCAATGGGGTCTCAATGGGCTCAATGGGGTCTCAATGGGATCCAATGGGGCTCAATGGGGTCTCAATGTGTTTCAATGGGGTCTCAATGGGCTCAATGGGTCTCAATGGGATCCAATGGGGCTCAATGGGGTCTCAATGTGTTTCAATGGGGTCTCAATGGGCTCAATGGGGTCTCAATGGGATCCAATGGGGCTCAATGGGGTCTCAATGTGTTTCAATGGGGTCTCAATGGGCTCAATGGGTCTCAATGGGATCCAATGGGGCTCAATGGGGTCTCAATGTGTTTCAATGGGGTCTCAATGAGGCTGCCGCCCCCTTCTTCTCTCCCCCAGCTCAAGGGGGAGGGGCCCAGCTCCTACCCCTCCCCCCGTTTGACTGACCCCCCCCCATAAACCCCCATTGACTCCATTCAAACCCCACCTTTATTTAAGGGGGGGGCACCCAATGGGGCCCCCCCTTTACAATGGGGCCTCTCCCCCCATATTGGGGTCCCCTTCAGAGCCTCTTGAGCCACTCGAGGTTGGGCCCTTCGGGGTCACAGGGGTGGGAGGGGACATCCGGCAGGTTCCCATCATCCCGCAGCGGCACTGGGGGGGGAGGGGAGGTCAGTTGGGGGGGGATGGGGGGGTCCCGTCCCACCCCTCCCCCCCCTATGGCTCATAGGGGGAGATGAAAGGGGGTGGGGCGGCGTTATGGGGTCAGTTATGGGAGGGGGGTTCCCCACCCCCCCCCCACAGGTCCCATAGGGGGAGATGGAGGGGGGGGGAAGGGGGGGTCCCTCCTACCCCCGAATCCTGGAGGGGGAGGGGGGCAAAGGGGGAGGGGCTTATGGGGGGCTCCCCCCCTGGTCCCATAGGGGGAGAGGAAGGGGGGGGGAAAGGGGGGGAGTCAGGGGGAGGGGAGGTTCTGGGGGTGCCCCTCCCCCTCCCCAGGTCCCATAGGGGGAGATGGAGGGGGGGAGGGCAAAGGGGGGGGGTGCCGGGGGGGGGCAGTTTGGGGGCAGTTTCAGGGTGTTCTGGGGTGATTTCAGGCTGTTTTGGGGCACTTTTGGAGCAGTTTGGGGCAGTTTGGGGGTATTGGGGGCAGTTTCAGGCTGTTTTGGGGCAGTTTTGGGGTAGTTGGGGTAGTTTGGGGGCAGTTTCAGGCTGTTTTGGTGCAGTTTGGGGGCATTTGGGGCAGTTTGGGGTTTTGGGGGGCAGTTTCAGGCTGTTTTGGGGCAGTTTGGGGCAGTTTTGGGGTATTTGGGGTAGTTTTGGGGTATTTGGGGCAGTTTTGGGGTATTTGGGGTAGTTTTGGGGCAGTTTCAGGCAGTTTTGGGGCAGTTAGGGGCAATTTGGGGCAGTTTTGGGGTATTTGGGGCAGTTTGGGGGCAGTTTCAGGCTGTTTTGGGGCAGTTTTGGGGTATTGGGGGTAGTTTTGGGGCAGTTTCAGGCAGTTTTGGGGCAGTTTGGGTACCCGGGTACGAGTACGGCGTGGCTTGGTTGATCATGGCCGAGTACTTGGTGTAGGGGCTGATGAACGGGGACACCACAGCTGGGGGGCACGGGGTCAGCACCGCCCCTTCCATGGCCCCGCCCCGGCCCCGCCTCCTTTGCACCCTCCCTCCCCAAGCCCCCTCTTCATTGGCCCAGCCCTCCCCAAGCCCTGTCCCCATTGGCTGCGCCCTCCCAAGCCCCCTTTCCATTGGCTCCACCCCCCCAAGCCCCCTCCCCTTTGGCTGCGCCCTCCCTAAGCCCCGTCCCCATTGGCTGCGCCCTCCCCAAGCCCTCTCCCCATTGGCGCAGCCCTCCCCAAGCCCTCTCCCCATTGGCGCAGCCCTCCCAACCCCTCCCCATTGGCGCAGCCCTCCCCAAACCCCCTCCCCATTGGCCCAGACCTCCCCAAGCCCTCTCCCCATTGGCCCAGCCTTCCCCAAGCCCCCCCCCCATTGGCTGCATCCTCCCCAAGACCCCTCCCCATTGGCCCAGCCCTCCCCAAGCCCTGTCCCCATTGGCCCAGCCCTCACCCAGGGCAGCGATGCCGATGCTCACGGTGATCACCGGCTCCTTGGCCCAGAGGTTCCTGAGCGCGGCCCCGAGCCCTGGGGCGGGGGGGGGGCGATGGGGGTCACTGCCCCATAGAGACCCCCAGGCACCCCATAGGGACCCCATAGAGCCCAGAGAGACCCCCATGCACCCCATAGGGACCCCATAGAGCCCAGAGAGACATCCATGCACCCCATAGGGACCCCACAGAACCCATAGGGAATCCATAGGGACCCCACAGAACCCATAGGGAATCCATAGAGACCCCACAGAACCCATAGGGAATCCATAGAGACCCCCAAATACCCCATAGAGACCTCTATGCACCCCATAGACCCCATAAGGACCCCATAGACCCCATAGAGACACCCATGCACCGTATAGGGACCCCACAGATCCCATAAGGAACCCACAGGGACCCCCAAACACCCCATAGAGACCTCCATGCACCCCATAGGGACTCCATAGGGCCCCCACAGAGATCCCCATAGATCCCATAGAAACCCCCATGCACCCCATAGGGACCCCAAACATCCCATAGGGACCCCATGGGAACCCCTATAGACCCCATAGGTACCCCAATTCCCCCCCATAAGGACCCCAAACACCCCATAGGACCCCCTACGCATAGGGACTGCCATGCACCCCATAGGGACCCCTACAGACCCCACAGGGACTCCCATAAGCCCCACAGAGACCCCACAGACCCCATAGGGACCACACAGGGATCCCTACAGACCCCATAGAAGCCCCCATGCGCCCCATAGGGACCCCAATTCACCCTATAGGGACCCCCATGCACCCCATAGGGACCCCAAACACCCCATAGAGACCCTTATAAACTACATAAGAACCCCAATTCACACCATAGGGACCCCCATGTACCCCATATGGACCTCCATGCACCCCACAGGGACCCAACTGACCCCATAGGGACCCCAATTCACCCCATAGGGACCCCATAGACCCTGTAGGGGCCCTAATTCACCGCATACGGACCCCAATTCACCCCATAAGGACCCCATACACCTTATAGGGACCCCAATTCACCCCATAGGGACCCCATAAACCCTATAGGGACCATAATTCACCCCACAGGGACCCCAATTCACCCCATAGAGACCCCGACTGACCCCTTATGGACCCCCATGCACCCCATAGAGACCCCATAGGTGCCATAAGGAGCCCAAATACCCTACAGGGACCCCATAGACCCCAATGAGACCCCCAACCCCCTCCCACCCCTTACTCACGTCCCAGCGCCGCCATCTTGGCTCCCAGCAACCTCCGCGCCTCCCCTCCCCCTCCGCTTCCACCACGGTGACGTCAGAGCGGGGGGAGGGGCGCGGTTACGCGGTGGGTGGGGGAGGGGCGGGGTCGAGCCCCTCCCCCCACAAGATGGCGGCGCGCGCGGAGCGGCGGAGGGCGGGGGAGGGACGGGCGCTGCCGCACAGCGGCCTCGCGCTCCATGGAGAGCCCCGGGGCCGATGCGGTAAGAGCCGGCCCCATAGCGCTGCCCCACAGCCCTGCCCCATAGCCCTGCCCCATAGCCCTCCCCCATATCCTTGCCCCATAGCCCTCCCCCATAGCCCTCCCCCATAGCTCTCCCCCATAGACGTGCCCCATAGACGTGCCCCACAGCCCTGCCCCATAGCGCTGCCCCGTAGCGCTGCCCCGTAGCGCCGCCCCATAGGCGTGCCCCATAGCTCTGCCCCATAGCACTGCTCCATGGCCCTGCCCCACAGCCCTGCCCCATAGCCCTGCCCCATAGCCTGCCCCATAGCGCCGCCCTATAGACGTGCCCCATAGCCTGCCCCACAGCCCTGCCCCATAGCCTGCCCCATAGCCCTGCTCATAGCACTGATCTATAGACCTGCCCCATAGCCCTTCCTCCTAGACCCCACAACTGCCCACAACTGCCATTGTTGCCCCTTAGAGCCCAGAACACCCAGGATACCCAGTGCTGCCCCACAGTGCTGATCTATGGGGCTACCCCATAGACCTGCCCCATAGATCCCAGAACACCTGTTGCTGCTCCATAGGCCTGCCCCATAGATCTCAGCACCCCCATTGCTGCCCCATCTCCCCCCTGACCCACATCTCCCCCACAGCCCCACTGCGCTGGGTGGACAGCATCGGCCTCGACACCTTGGACCTGCTGGAGCCCTATGGGGACCCCCCCAGCACCCACCCAGGTACATGGGGGGTGGGACTCACACTTGTGGGGCAGGAGGGGACTTGTGGGGCAGGAGGGGACTTGTGGGGCAGGAGCCCCATAAGTAACCCCACCCCTCCTTTTGTCCCCACAGCTCCCACCCCCCGCCCTCCAGCGGAGGGGGGCCCCCCCCAGCGCAATGGGAGTCTCTGCCCCACGGCTGCCCCACAGGCAAGGAAGGGACCCCCGGCATCCAAACCCCCCAGCAGCTGCCCTGCCCCCCAGCCCCACACATCCAGGGCCCCCCAAGCTCAGGCCCTGCCCCACACCTGCCCATGGGGGCTGAAGGGCACCCATGCGCCTGGAGCCTCTGAAGCTCCCCATAGCCCCCTATGGGGAGAGGAGTGGCCCCCGATAGCTGGGACCCACAAGTGCCCCCGTGACCCTTCCCTGCCCCACATTGCCCCCCAAGAGCACCCCCAGCCCCATACCGGCTCCCTGCCCCATAGCAAGTCCCAGCCCCACATATCCCACCAACCGCTCTCCCAGCCACATAGAGAGTCCCAGCCCCATAGCAGTCCCCAGCCCCATAAGGACTCTCAGCCCCATAGCACCCCCCAAGCAGCCCCCAAGCCCCATAGCGGCTGCCAGACGCCTATCTCCCCCCAAGTGCCCCCAGAGCCCCATAGTGAGGCCCAGCCCCACATATCCCACCAAACAGCCCCCCAGCCCCAAAGCGGGTCCCAGCCCCATAGCATCCCTCAGCCCCATAGCGGGTCCCAGCCCCATAGCATCCCCCAGCCCCATAGCACCCCCCAACCCCATAGCACCCCCAGCCCCATAGCACCCCCCAGCCCCATAGCACCCCCAGCCCCATAGCACCCCCCAGCCCCATAGCGGCTCCCAGCCCCATAGCACCCCCCACCCCCATAGCACCCCCCAGCCCCATAGCACCCCCCACCCCCATAGCACCCCCCACCCCCATAGCGGCTCCCAGCCCCATAGCACCCCCCACCCCCATAGCGGCTCCCAGCCCCATAGCACCCCCCACCCCCATAGCGGCTCCCAGCCCCATCACATACCGCCAGCCCCATAGCACCCCCAGCCCCATAGCACCCCCCAGCCCCATAGCACCCCCCAACCCCATAGCACCCCCAGCCCCATAGCACCCCCCACCCCCATAGCACCCCTCACCCCCATAGCACCCCCCACCCCCATAGCACCCCCCACCCCCATAGCACCCCCCACCCCCCGCGCTCCCCGACGCGGACCTCGCGCTCCTTTCCCGCCAGCTGGGGGCGCTGCTGCGCGCGCACCCCTCGGGGCTCTCTCTCTTCTCGCTGCGCGCCGCTTACGTCACCGCCTTCGAGCGCCCCCTGCCGGTCGGGCCCTGCCCCTCGGCCCGCGCGCTTCTGGCGCAGCTCCCGGATGTGCTGCGCATGCGCGGCCGCGGCGTCCAGACCCGCGTCCTGCCCGGCCCCGCCCCTCTCGCGATAGCGAGGCCGGACCCCGCCCCCAGCGCGATAACGAGGCAGGAACCCACCCCTATCGCGACACCGAGGCCGGAACCTGCCCCTATCGCAAAAACAGGGTTGGAACCCACCCCCAGCACGATAACGAGGCCGGAACCATCCCCTATCGCAAAAACAGGGTCAGAACCCTCCCCTATCGCGATAACAAGGGCAGAGCCTGCCCCTATCGCAATAACAAGGCCAGAACCTGCCCCTAAAGCGATACCGAGGCCAGAACCCGCTCATAGGGTGGTAACGAGCGTGGAACCCACTGCTATCGCGACAACAAGGTCAGAACCTATCCCTAGGGTGGCAGTGAGTCCAGACTCAGCCCCTATCGCGATAGCAAAGCCGAAACCCGCCCCTATTGCGATAACGAGGCCAGAACCCTCCCCTATCGCGATAACGAGGCCAGAACCTGCCCCTGGGGTGATACCAAGGCCAGAACCCGCTTGTAGGGTGATAACGAGCATGGAACCCACTGCTGTCGCGATAACAAGGCCAGAACCCATCCCTAGGGCGACAATGAGTCCAGAATTGGCCCCTATCGTGATAGCAAAGCCGAAACCCGCCCCTATCGCGATAATGAGGCCAGAACCCACCCATATCGTGATAACAAGTCCGGAACCCACCTGGCTGCAATTGGCGCCGCCCCCAACAACACCAAGGCCCGTTTTGGGGTCCCCCCCCGTGACCCCAACCCCTGGGACCCCCCCTTTGGGGTCCCCCCCAGTTGGGCCCCATTCGAGGTCCCCCCCCAGGTCCCCAGTGCCCGGCAGCCTGGATCTGATGGGAGCCCTCCCCCCACTGCCCCCCCCTCCGCCCCCCCCCCGCTGCACCCTGCTCTAAAGGGGGGCTCCCCCCTCGCACCCCATGGGGGGGCTTGGAGCCCATTGGGGGCGATTCTGACCCAATTTGGGGCCAGCTGCTGAGGCTTCAGGCGCATCCCTGCGGGTTTGAGCAATCGGGGGCTTTGGAGCCACTCCGGTGGGGTCCGGTCCCATGGCAATGGGTTTGGATCCGGCCTCATGGGGTCTGATGGGGTTGGACCAATTCCGGTGGATCTGAACTCAATTCCGATGCCTTCGGGTGGATGTGCGCCAATTCTGGTGGATTTTGACCAATTCTGACCCTGTTTTGAGGGATCTTGACCAATTCTGATGCATTCTGAGGAATTCTCTTGCTTTTTAATGGATTTTGGCCATTTCTGATGGATTTTAACCAATTCTGATGGATTTTGACCCGATTCTGATGGATTTTGACCCGATTCTGATGGATTTTGACCCAATTCTGATGGATTTTGACCCAATTCTGATGGATTTTGACCAATTCTGAGTGATTTTGGCCCAATTCTGATGGATTTTGACCATTTCTGATGGATTTTAACCAATTCTGATGGATTTTGACCCGATTCTGATGGATTTTGACCCAATTCTGATGGATTTTGACCCAATTCTGATGGATTTTGACCAATTCTGAGTGATTTTGGCCCAATTCTGATGGATTTTGACCATTTCTGATGGATTTTGACCAATTCTGATGGATTTTGACCCGATTCTGATGGATTTTGACCCGATTCTGATGGATTTTGACCCAATTCTGATGGATTTTGACCAATTCTGAGTGATTTTGGCCCAATTCTGATGGATTTTGACCATTTCTGATGGATTTTGACCAATTCTGATGGATTTTGACCCGATTCTGATGGATTTTGACCAATTCTGGTGCATTTTGACCAATTCTGATGGATTTTGACCAATTCTGATGGATTTAAACCCAATTCTGATGGATTTTGACCAATTCTGGTGCATTTTGACCAATTCTGATAGATTTTAACCAATTCTGATGGATTTTAACCCAAGTATGATGGATTTTGACCCATTCTGATGGATTTTAACCGTTTCTGATTGATTTTAACCCAATTCTGATGGATTTTGACCAATTCTTTTGGATTTTGACCCAGTTCAGCGTCTTTTCACCCCAAATCCCCATCAATAACCTGCTGAGAATAACTGCAAGTGCTGGAGGGGGGGGCACCCATAGGTGAGGTGGGACCCCTAAGTGGGGGGGGCACCCATAGGTGGGGTGGGACCCATAAGTGGGGGGGGGCACCCATAAGTGGGGTGGGACCCATAAGTGGGGGGGGCACCCATAGGTGGGGTGGGACCCATAAGTGGGGGGGGCACCCATAGGTGGGGTGGGACCCATAAGTCGGGGGGGCACCCATAAGTGGGGTGGGACCCATAAGTGGGGGGGGCACCCATAGGTGGGGTGGGACCCCTAAGTGGGGGGGGCACCCATAAGTCTGATGGGGGGGGCACCCATGGGACCACTCCCCCATTCCCAAAGGTGTTTAATTAAGGGGGGGGGGCTCACATCACCTGGGGGGGGGCAGTTGGGGGTCACCCTCTTCCAGCCCCAAATCTATGGGGCACAGCACCTGGGGGGGGGTCAATGAGGACATCAGTATTGGACACGCCCCCCCCATAGTATTATGGGATGGAGGGGGGGAAGTGCCCCCCGCGCCATCGACCGCCCCATATTCATGCTCTAATTAACACAGCGTTAATTAATGGGGGGGGGGGCACGTACCTCAATGGGTGCTGGATGCGATGGGGGGGGGCTCAGAGCATCAGGAGGGCGATGCCCCCCACCCCCAGGGTGACCCCCCCCAAAGTGGGGGGAGGGGCTGCAGCCGAAGTGGGGGGGGCCCCCCTATAGCAAGGGGGGGGCTGGTCCGGGAAGGGGGGGCCTTGAGTCCAGCTGAGGTCTGGGGGGGGGGGGAAAGGGGGTTAATGGGGGGGTATCAATGGGGGGGTCCCCGTTCACTGGGGGTTTCAATGGGTATCAATGGGGGGTTCCCCCTTCACTGGGGGGGTTCAATGGGTTATCAATGTGGGGGTCCCCATTCACTGGGGGTGTCCATGGGGATTAATGGGGTGTCAATGAGGGGGTGTCCATGGGGGTCTCAGTGGGCATCAATAGGAGATCAATGGGGGGTTCCCTTTGGGGGGGGCTCCACACTCACTGGGGGGGTCAATGGGTATCAGTGGAGGTCAATGGGGGGGTATCAATGGGGGGTTCTGAATGGGGATCAATTGGGATTAATGGGGGGGGTATCAATGGGTATCAATGGATGCCAATGGGGTATCAATAGGAATTGATAGGGGTTCTCAATGGGGGGGTGTCAGTGGGGGTTCTCAGTGGGGGCTCAATGGGGGGGCTCAGCACTCACTGGGGGCTCAGTGGGGCTCAGTAGTGATCAATGGGGGGGTCTCATTGAGGGGTTCTCAATGGGGGGTCTTGGCACTCACCAGGGGGTTCAATGGGGATCAGTGGGGATCAGTAAGGATCAATGGGGAGGACTCAATGGCAGGGGTCTCAGCACTCACTTGGGGGGCTCAATGGGGTCTCCATAGGGGTAAATGGGTCTCAATGGGGTCTCCATAGCGATCAATGGGTCTCAGTGGGGTTTCCATAGGGATCAATGGGGTCTCAATGGGGTCTCCATAGGGATCAGTGCGGTATCAATGGGTCTCAGTGGGTTCTCCATAGGGATCAATGGGGTCTCCATAGGGATCAGTGGGGTCTCCATAGGCATCAGTGGGTTTTCCATAGGGATCGATGGGGTCTCCATATGGATCAGTGGGTTCTCCATAGGGATCAATGGGTCTCCATAGGGATCAATGGGGTCTCAATGGGTTCTCCATAGGGATCAATGGGGTCTCCATAAGGATCAATGGGTTCTCCATAGGGATCAATGGGTTCTCCATAGGGATCAGTGGGGTCTCCATAGGTGTCAATGTGGTCTCAATGGGTTCTCCATAGGGATCAGTGGGGTCTCCATAGGGATCAGTGGGGTCTCCATAAGGATCAGTAGGTTCTCCATAGGGATCAATGGGGTCTCAATGGGTTCTCCATAGGGATCAATGGGGTCTCCATAAGGATCAATGGGTTCTCCATAGGTATCAATGGGTTCTCCATAGGGATCAACGGGGTCTCCATAGGGATCAATGGGGTCTCAATGGGTTCTCCATAGGGATCAGTGGGGTCTCCATAGGTGTCAATGTGGTCTCAATGGGTTCTCCATAGGGATCAGTGGGGTCTCCATAGGGATCAGTGGGGTCTCCATAAGGATCAGTAGGTTCTCCATAGGGATCAATGGGGTCTCAATGGGTTCTCCATAGGGATCAATGGGGTCTCCATAAGGATCAATGGGTTCTCCATAGGTATCAATGGGTTCTCCATAGGGATCAACGGGGTCTCCATAGGGATCAATGGGGTCTCAATGGGTTCTCCATAGGGATCAGTGGGGTCTCCATAGGGATCAATGGGTTCTCCATAGGGATCAATGGGGTCTCCATAGGGATCAATACGTTCTCCATAGTGATCAGTGGGTTCTCCGTAGGGATCAGTGGGTTCTCCATAGGGATCAATGGGGTCTCAATGAGTCTCAATGGGGTCTGCATAGGGATCAGTGGGGTCTCAGCGGGTTCTCCATAGGGATCAATGGGGTCTCCATAGGGATCAGTGGGGTCTCCATAGGGATCAGTGGGTTCTCCATAGGGATCAGTGGGGTCTCAGCGGGTTCTCCATAGGGATCAATGGGTTCTCCATAGGAATCAATGGGGTCTCCATAGGGATCAGTGGGTTCTCCATAGGGATCAATGGGGTATCCATAGGGATCAATGGGATCTCCATAGGGATCAGTGGGTTCTCCATAGGGATCAGTGGGTCTCAACGGGTTCTCCATAGGGGTCAAGGGGGTCTCAGTGGGGTCTCCATAGGGATCAGTGGGTTCTCCATAGGGATCAACGGGTTCTCCATAGGGATCAGTGGGTTCTCCATAGGGATCAACGGGTTCTCCATAGGGATCAGTGGGTTCTCCATAGGGATCAATGGGTGTCCATAGGGATCAGTGGGTTCTCCATAGGGATCAACGGGTTCTCCATAGGGATCAGTGGGTTCTCCATAGGGATCAACGGGTTCTCCATAGGGATCAGTGGGTTCTCCATAGGGATCAACGGGTTCTCCATAGGGATCAGTGGGTTCTCCATAGGGATCAACGGGTTCTCCATAGGGATCAGTGGGTTCTCCATAGGGATCAACGGGTTCTCCATAGGGATCAGTGGGGTGTCCATAGGGATCAATGGGTGTCCATAGGGATCAGTGGGTCTCAATGGGATCTCCATAGGGGTCAATGGGGTCTCAGTGGGGTCTCCGGGGCACTCACCGGGGGGCTCCCGCAGCCGCAGCAGCCCCAGGGCCCTGCTCAGGTTCCTCAGGGCCCCCTCGAGCCTCGCGTTCTCCCCCCGCAGCCCCCCCAGGGCCTCGCGCAGCTCGAACGGGGCCCCCCCCTCCCCCCACAGCGCCGCCCCCCCCAGCACCAGCGCCAGCAGCAGCCGCTGCCCCGCGCCGGCCATCGCCTGACGTCACCGCCACGCCCCCGTGACGTCACCGCCACGCTCCCCAATCACTGCACAGGAGCATAGGGGGAAGCTCCTCCCCCCCGCCCCCCCATAGACCTCCATAGCCCCCCCCAAGCACTATTCCTGCCCTACAAGTGCCCCCCCAGCCCCATAGATCACCCCAGCCCCATGCATCCCACCCCACCCCATACATGCCCCCCAGCACCATACATCTCCCCCAGCCCCATACATTCCCCCCCAGCCCCATACAGCCCCTCCAACCTCATGCATCCCCCCCAGCCCCATACATCTCCCCCAGCCGCATACATCCCCCCAGCCCCATACAGCCCCCCCAGCCCCATACAGCCCCCCAACCCATGCATCCTCCCCCAGCCCCATACAGCCCCCCAACCCATGACAGCCCCCAGCCCCATACATCCCCCTTGCCCCATACAGCCCCCCCAGCCCCATACATCCCCCTTGCCCCATACATCCCCTCCAACCCCATGCATCCCCCCAGCCCCATACATCTCCCCCAGCCCCATACATCCCCCTTGCCCCATACATCCCCTCTAAGCCCCATACATCCCCCCCAGCCCCATGCATCCCCCCAGCCCCCTTTTGCCCCCTCCATAGCCCCCCATCATAATTAAAGGCACTTTGGGGCTCATTTGAGGTGATTTGGGGAAATTTGGGTGGATTTCGGGTCATTTGGGGGCATTTTGGGCAGGTTTGGGGTATTTCCGGCTGCTTTTACGGCCATGGGGGGCCGTTTGAGGGCATTTTGGGGCATTTTAGGGGCATTTTAGGGGCATTTCCGGATATTGCCGAAGATTTCCGAACGAAACCGGAAGTTGCCGAAGCCGGAGATTGCCGAAGAGAACCGGAAGTTGCCGAAGCCCAGGGCTGCTCTGGCCGCGCCTCGGCTCTGACGCTCCTTCCGTTTCCGGCTGCGGCAGCGAGCGGAGGTGCCGCGTGGGGCTGCGGCCATGGGGGGCAATGGGGGGCTATGGGGGGTCCATAGGGGGCTATGGGGGGCTATGGGGGGCAATAGGGTCCTATGGGGGTCCATGGGGGTGCTATGGGGGACTCTGGGGGTCAGTGAGGTGCTGTGGGGGTCAATGGGGGGGCCAAGGGAGGTCCATAGGGCGCTATGGGGGGGTCAGTGGGGGCCTGTTGGGGCTCCATAGGCGGCTGTGGGGGTTCATAGGGTGCTGTGGGGAGTCCATAGGGGCCCATGGGGGGGCTTTGGAGGGTCCATGGGGGCCTCTGGGGGGTCCACAGGGGCCTATGGGGGACTGTGGGGGGTCCATAGGAGCCTTTGTGGTGTCCCTAGGGACCTCTGGGGGATCCGTAGGGGCCTATGGGGTGTCCATAGTGGCCTTTGTGGTGTCCATAGGGGGCTGTGGGGGGGTCCCCGCAGCCGCTGAGCCCCATTCCCCCCCCATCCCTAGGGCGATGTCGTCCCACCTGCAGTGGATGGTGCTGCGGAACTGCTCCAGCTTCCTCATCAAGCGGAACAACCAGACCTACAGCACGGTCAGTGCCCCCCTCAGACCCGATGGGGACCCCCCAAACCCCATTGGGGACCCCCTAAACCCCATTGGGGACCCCTAAACAGCATTGGGGACCCCCCCAAACCCTTTGGCATCCCCTAAGCCCCACTGGGGACCCCTTTAAACCATTTGAGTCCCTCCCCCTAAACCCCATGGGGACTCCCTTAAACCCTTTGGGGAACCCCCGTAAACCGTTTGGTACCCCCTAAATGCGTTTGGGGAGCCCTTAAGCCCTTTTGGATCCCCCCCAAACCGTTTAGGGCCCCCTTAAAACCTTTGGAACCCCCCCTAACCCGTATGGGGACTTCTCTAAACCCTTTGTGCCCCCTTTAAACCCTATGGGACCCCCCTAAACCCAGTTGGGGTCCCTCTAATCCCTATGGGGTCTCCCCTAAACCCTTGAACTCCCCTAAACCCTTTGGGACCACCTTAAACCCTATGGGGACCCCCCTAAACCGTGTTGGTGAGCCCCTAAACCCTATTTGGACCCCTCTAAACCCTTTGGGACACCCTTAAACCCTATGGGGACCCCCCTAAACCCTATTTGGACTTCCCTAAAGCCTTTAGGACCCCCTTAAACCCTATGGGGACTCCCCTGAACCCTGTTGGGGACCCTCTAACCCCTATGGCGTCTCCCCTAAACCCTTTGGGACCCCCTTAAACCCTATGGGAACCCCCTAAACCCTGTTGCGGACCCCCTAACCCCTATGGGGACTCCTCTAAACCCTATTTGGACTCCCCTAAACTCTTTGGGACCCCCTTAAACCCTATGGGGACCCCCCTAAACCCCTTTGCCCCCCCGCAGGAACCCAACAACCTCAAGTCCCGCAATTCCTTCCGCTACAATGGCCTGATCCATCGCAAGACCGTGGGGGTGGAACCGGCCCCCGATGGCAAAGGCATCGTCGTGGTGCTGAAGAAACGCACTGGTGGGTGCCCCCCCCCATCCCACCCTTTAAACCCCTTTATACCCCCCCTTTAATGGCCTTTTCCTTCCCCCCCCAGGGCAACGTAAACCGGCCGCGTCCTACAACCGGGTCACGATCCGCAGGGATGCTCGGGCCACCCTGGGCAGCCTCCGGAACATCATCCGCAAGAACAAGTACCGCCGGGACCTGCGCATGGTCAGGGGGGGCGCGGCTCAGAGCGGGGGGGGCGTTAAAGGCAGAGGAGGGGCTTCAGGACCCAGTGGTGCCCATTGGTGTCAGTCAGGGGTGGGCTTTAGGACCCAGCGGTGCCCATTGGTGTCAGTCAGGGGTGGGCTTTAGGACCCAGCGGTGCCCATTGGTGTCAGTCAGGGGTGGGCTTCAGGACCCAGTGGTGCCCATTGGTGTCAGTCAGGGGTGGGCTTTAGGACCCAGTGGTGCCCATTGGTGTCAGTCAGGGGTGGGCTTCAGGACCCAAGGGATCCCATAGGAGTCAGCCCATGGGGGTGTGTTTGGGGGTGCTCATTATGGCCCTAAGGGGGGCTATGACTATGAGGGGGTCATTAAATGCAATGGGGGGGGTCTTCAGACCCGAGGGGGATCCCCAAACTTAGGGGAGTCAGTAAAGGCAGAAGGGGAGCTTTAGGACCCAGTGGACCCAATAGGAGACTAGGACCCATCAATAAGGGTGTTTGGGGGGGGTCATTAAATGCAATGGGAGGGCTCTAAGACCCCTATTTTCGGTCTATTTCCCCCTGTTTTGGGGCTTTTCCCCCCTATTTTGGGTGTTTTCCCCAGTTTGGGTTTCTTTCCCTTTATTTGGGGGCTGTTTCCCCCTCTTTTGGGTGCGTTTGCCCTTATTTTGGGGTGTATTTCTTCCTGTTTGGGGGCTATTTCCCCCTGTTTTGGGTGTTTAGTCTTATTTTGGGTGTACTTCCCCCCATTTGGAGTCTATTTCCCCCTATTTTGAGTTTATTTCCTCCTACTTTGGGTCTATTTTCCCCCATTTTGGATCTGTTTCCTCCTATTTTGGGTGTGTTTCCCACCATTTTGGGTGTATTTCCCCCCATTTTGGGTCTATGTCCCCCCATTTTAGGTGTATTTTCTCCTATTTTGGGTCTATTTCCCCCCATTTTAGGTCTATTTCCTCCCATTTTGGGTCTATTTCCTCCTATTTTGGGTCTGCTTCCCCCCATTTTAGGTCTATTTACCCCATTTAGGGTCTATTTTCTCCCATTTTGGATCTTATTTCCTCCTATTTTGGGTGTGTTTCCCCTTATTTGAGCTATTTCCCCCCATTTTGGGTCTATTTTCCCCCTTTTTTGGTCTATGCCCCCCCATTTTGGGTCCATTCCCCCCCATTTCAGGTCCATTCCCCCCCATTTTGGGTCCATTCCCCCCAATTTTGGGTCCATTTCCCCCCATTTTAGATCTATTTCCCCCCATTTCAGGTCCATTTCCCCCCATTTTAGATCTATTTCCCCCCATTTCAGGTCCATTTCCCCCCATTTTAGGTCCATTCCCCCCCATTTTGGGTCCATTTCCCCCCAGTTTGTGTCCATTTCCCCCCATTTTGGGTCCATTTCCCCCCATTTCGTGTCCATTTCCCCCATTTCGTGTCCATTTCCCCCATTTCGTGTCCATTTCCCCCATTTTGGGTCTATTTCCCCCATTTTAGGTCCATTTCCCCCATTTTGGGTCCATTTCCCCCCATTTCGTGTCCATTTCCCCCATTTTAGGTCCATTTCCCCCCATTTTGGGTCCATTTCCCCCCATTTTGGGTCCATTTCCCCCATTTTAGGTCCATTTCCCGCCATTTTGGGTCCATTTCGGGTCCATTTCCCCCCATTTCGGGTCCATTTCCCCCCATTTCGGGTCCATTTTCCCCGATTTTGGGTCCATTTCCCCCCATTTCGGGTCCATTTCCCCCCATTTCGGGTCCATTTTCCCCGATTTCGGGTCCATTTCCCCCCATTTCGGGTCCATTTTCCCCCATTTTGGGTCCATTTCCCCCCATTTTGGGTCCATTTTTCCCCAATTGGGGTCCATTTCCTCCCATTTTGGGTCCATTTCCCGCCATTTTGGGTCCATTTCAGGTCCATTTCCCCCCATTTTGGGTCCATTTCCCCCCATTTCGGGTCTGTGTCCCCCCAGGCCGCCCTGCGCCGCGCCAGCGCCCTCCTGCGCAGCCAGAAGCCGGTGGTGATGAAGAAGAAGAGGGTCCGGGCGGCGAAGGCTCCGTGAATCCCCCCATTGACCCCCCCCCCATAATAAAGGGGTCCCAACAGCGCCCCCTGGCTCCGGCTGCGTTTATTGCGGGGTCCGTGAGGGGTGGGGGGGGTTCCATGGTCCAACCCCCCCCCTCCATCACCCCCTGCACCCCAATACCCTCTTGGGGGGATGCTCCATGGAAAGGGGCCCCCCCCTTGGTTTGGGGGGGCGGGGTTTGGGGTGCCCCGCCCCCTATTTCTTGGGCTCGTATTGGATGAGGCGCATGATGTCATCGTTGTTCATGACCCCATCGATGAACTCCCCCTCGGCGATCTTGTCTGGGGGGGCAGAGATAACAATGGGGGTCAGTGGGGGGGAGAACCATGGGGGACACAACATGGGGGTCAATGGAGCTTTGGGGGGGTTGTGAGTATTTGGGGGGGAAGGGGATTTTGGGGTCATTTTGGGGCAGTTTAGGGTGGGTTTGGGGCTTTTGGGGGCTGTTTTCAGGCAGGTTTGCGCTGATTTGGGGCAGTTTTGGGGTCTTCATGTCTGGTTTGGGGCAGTTTTGGGACTTCTGGGGCAATTTGGGGTGTTTTGAGCAGTTTTGGGGCAGTTATGGGCTGGTTTGGGCAGTTGGGGACTGGTTTGGGGCTATTTGGGGTGGTTTGGGGCTGGTTTTTGGGTGTTCTGGGGCTGTTTTGGGGTGTTCTAGGCTGGTTTTGGGGCGGTTTGGGTGTGGTTTTGGGGTGTTTGGGGCTGTTTTGGGCTGGCGTTGGCGCAGCTTTGGGGCAGTTTTGGCTGCTTTGGTGCTCTTGGGGTTTTGGGGCAGTTTCAGGCAGTTTTGGGGTGTTTGGGGCTGGTTTGGGGGCACTTTTGTGTGGTTTTGGGTGTTTGGAGGCAGTTTTGGGGCAGTTTCAGGCAGTTTTGGGTATTTTGGGGTGTTTGGGGGCAGTTTTGGGCCATTTTGGGGCAGTTTTGGTTGTTTTGGTGTGTTTGGGGCTGGTTTTGGGGCAGTTTTGGGCGGCTTGGGGGCCGTTTTGGTGTGTTTGGGGCAGTTTTGGGTGTTTTGGTGTGTTTGGGGCAGTTTTGAGCAGTTTTGGAGCAGTTTTGGGCAGTTTTGGTGTATTTGGGGCGGTTTTGGGTGGTTTGGTGTGTTTGGGGACAGTTTTGGGCCGGTTTTGGGGCAGTTTTGGGTCAGTTTGGGTCAGTTTGGGGTCAGTTTCAGGTGTATTTGGGGTCAGTTTCAGGCAGTTTTGGCTCAGTTTGGCTCAGTTCTGAGCTCTGTGTGTGTCTGTGTGTGTGTGTGTGTGTGTGTGTGTGTGTCGGTGCTGGCCCGGTACCGTTGTCGCCCTTCTTGAAGTAGGCCCAGAGTTTGTCCGCCCGTTTCTGGGGGCTGTTCTCGTCCTCGGGCAGAGACTTCTGCTCCTCGGGGGGGATGAGCTTGAAAATGGCCTGGGGGGCACAGAGACACAGAGAGACCCATAGGGACCCATAGGGACCCATAGAGACCATAGGGACCCATAGAGACACAGAGAGACCCATAGGGACCCACAGGGACCATAGAGACCATAGGGACCCATAGAGACACAGAGAGACCCATAGGGACCCACAGGGACCATAGAGACCATAGGGACCCATAGAGACACATAGAGACCCATAGGGACCCACAGGGACCATAGAGACCTATAGGGACTCATAGAGAGCATAGAGACCCAGAGAGACCCATAGAAACCCATAGGGACCTATAGAGACCCATAGAGAGCTTAGAGCCCCACAGAGACCCTAGAGCCCCATACAGACCATAGACTCATAGGGACCCATGGGGACCATACAGAGACCCATAGAGACCATAGACTCATAATAACCCACAGAGCCCCATAGAGACTCATAGAGCCCCATAGAGACCACAGAGCCCCATAGAGAGACCCATAACAACCATAGAGAGACCCATAGAGACTCACAGAGCCCCATAGAGCCCCCATGTACCCCCCCCCCCCAGCTCTGGGTCCTTCATTTAACCCCGGGGGGGGGGGTTTAATCCCCCCCTCCCCCCAAAGCACCTTTAACCCCTCCCCCCCCCCCAGCTTTTTCCATCAGGCTTAAGGGGATTTAACCCCTGGGGGGGCAAAGCCAAATCAGTGCAGGCCCTGCACGTGCCCGGGCTGTGGGGCAGCCCCACAGGGCCCCATAGGGCCCCATTGCACAATGGGACCTTCTCACCCCATAGATCTCTATTGGATCCCAGGAGCTTCTCACCCCATAGACCTCTATTGGATCACAGGAGCTTCTCACCCCATAGATCCCCCTCACCCCATGGCCCTTTCTCCCCCCCCCCATTTAACCCTTCTCACCCTATAGATCCCCATCACCTTCCGCCCCCATAGCTCCTGCTCACCCCATAGATCCCATTAGAGCACAGCCCCTTCTCCCCCTCACCATGCCACCTTCGTGCCCCATAGATCCCCATGGCATTATGGCCCCTGCTCACCCCATAGCTCCCCATCACCCTATAGCTCCCCATCACCCCATAGCGCCCCATAGCTCTCCCATGTCTCACTGTGATGATCTCGAGCATCTCCCCCTTGCCCCATAGCCCCCCACTGCCCCCATAGCCCCCATAGCTCCCCTTGCTCCATAGGCCCCATAGCCCCACACCCCCCATAGCTCCCACTGTGATGATCTCAAGCACCTCCCCCCTTGCCCCATAGATCTCTATTATACGATTATGAAGCCTTCTCACCCCATAGCTCCCCACAGCCCCCTATACCCTGCATCACCCCATAGCTCCCTCTACCCCCCATAGCCCCATAGCTCACCCCATAGTTCTCTATGGGTCTCCCCATAGGTCCTCACCGTGACGATCCCGAGCACCTCCTCCTTGCCCCATAACCCCTCTGTCACACCCCATAGCTCACCCCTTAGCCCCATAGCCGGCTCCATAGCCCCCATTACCCCATAGCTCACCCCATAGACTCTCTATAGGACTCTATACGGCTCTCACCATGATGATCTCGAGCACCTCCCCCTTGCCCCATAGCCCCTCTATCACACCCCATAGCTCACCCCATAGTCCCTAGATCACCCCATAGATCCCCCCATAGCTTCCTATGGGGCCGGGTCTCACCGTGATGAACTCAAGCACCTCCCCCTTGTCTCATAGCCCCCATAGCTCCTCATTACCCCATAGCCCCCATTACCCCAGCCCCATAGCCCCCATTACCCCATAGCTCCCCCCATAACCATTACCCCAGCCCCAGCCCCATCCCCCCCGCTACCCCAGCCCCATAGCCCCCATTACCCCATAGCTGCCACATAGCCCCCCGTGGCTGCCTCCATCTGGCTCTCACCGTGACGACCTCGAGCACCTCCTCCTTGCCCCATAGCCCCCATTACCCCATAGCCCCATGGCTCCCCCCATAGCTGCCCCACAGCTCCCTATGGGGCCGGCTCTCACCGTGACGATCTCGAGCACCTCCCCCTTGCCCCATAGCCCCCATTACCCCATAGCCCCATGGCTCCCCCCATAGCTGCCCCACAGCTCCCTATGGGGCCGGCTCTCACCGTGACGATCTCGAGCACCTCCCCCTTGCCCCATAGCCCCCATTACCCCATAGCCCCATGGCTCCCCCCATAGCTGCCCCACAGCTCCCTATGGGGCCGGCTCTCACCGTGACGATCTCGAGCACCTCCCCCTTGCCCCATAGCCCCCATTACCCCATAGCCCCATGGCTCCCCCCATAGCTGCCCCACAGCTCCCTATGGGGCCGGCTCTCACCGTGACGATCTCGAGCACCTCCCCCTTGCTGACCTCCCCGTTCCGGTCCACGTCGAAGAGCGAGAACGCCCACTCGAGCTTGAGGCGCGCGCGCCCGGGCGCCGTCAGGTGGAGCGCGAGCACGTACTCCCGGAAGTCCAGGCTGCCGTCGCCGTTGGCGTCCAGGCTGCGGAACACGTGACGCGCGTAGCCCTGCGCCTCCGAGCAGGGGAAGAAGGTCCCGTAGAGGCGCTCGAAGTCCTCGCGAGAGATGCGCCCATCCGGGCACTGCCGCCGGAAGCGCTCGTGCCACGAGCGCAGCTCCTCCTCCGAGTAGCGCGTGCTCGCCTGCAGCTCCTCCAGCAGCTCCCGCGAGAGCGCGCGGCTCCGCGCCGTGCCCATCGCTCACACCCAGCCCTCCCCACCCCCCCCCCCCGGCACCGCCCGAGCGGCAGGGGGGCGGCACAGAGCGGCGATAGGGGGCGATAGGAGCAAGATAGGGCGCGATAGAGGGCGATAGGAGCAAGATCGGGGGCGATAGGAGCAAGATAGGAGCGATAGAGGGCGATAGGAGCAAGATCGGGGGCGATAGAGGGCGATAGGAGCAAGATCGGGGGCGATAGGGGGCGATAGAGCGCGATAGGAGCGCGGTAAAGAGCGATAGGAGCAAGATCGGGGACGATAGGAGCACGATAGGGAGCGATAGGAGCGCGATAGAGGGCGATAGGAGCAAGATAGGGGACAATAGGACTGTGATAGGAGCGATAGCGCAATAGGGAGCGATACGAGTGCAATAGAGCAGGCTATAGGGGGCGATAACGATAGGAGGTGATAGAAGATTAATAAGGGATGCTTGGGGGCTATAAGGGGTGATAAGAGTGTGACAGGAGGGCTATGGAGGGAGACAGAGGGGGTGAGAGGAGGGCTATAGGGAGCGATAGAGGGCAATGGGGGCCGATAGAGGGGGACAGGGGGTGATGGGGGGATATGGAGGGGATAGAGGGGCTATAGGGCCAATAGGGGGTGATAGCAGGGCTGTAGGGGAAGACAGGAGCAATAGGGAGCGATAGAGGGCGATAGGGAGCAATAGGGGCCGATAGGAGGACTATAGGGGGCGATAGAGAGCGATGAGGGCTGATAGGGAGCGATAGGGGGGAACAGAGGGGCTATAGGGAGCAAAAGGGGGTGATGGGGGGGTTAGGGGGCAATAGGGGTCAATAGGAGGGCGATGGGGGGCCGATGAGGGGGGATATGGGGGTCAATAGAGGGGGATAGGGGGCAATAAGGGGGGATAGGAGGTGAAGGAGGGGCGATAGAGGACGGGACCCCAAAACCTCAATGGGGGGAGGAGGAGGAGGAGGAAGGCGTCGGGAGCTGGAGTCCAATGGGATTGGGAATGGGAAAGGGCTGGGATGGGGGGGGGGGGCGATGGGAGCCGCTGGGGAGGAAGCAGAGGCTGAGGAGGGGGAGCCCAAAGGGACCCCCCCAACCCCGGCAAGGATGAGGATGAGGATGGAGCCCCCCCCCTCGGGAGCGGCTCTTATAGGGATTGGGAGCGGGGGGGTGAAGGTGATCCCGGCTTAGCGGGGACACGTGGGGATGGGGGGGAGGGGATGGAGACACCCAAAGGGGACCCAACCCCCCCCGCAAAGAGTAAAGGCAGCAAACAGACCCCAAATGCTCCCGAATAGACCCAAAATGCACCCGAATAGACCCAAAATGCACCCGAATAGACCCAAAATGCACCCGAATAGACCCAAAATGCACCCGAATAGACCCAAAATGCACCCGAATAGACCCAAAATGCACCCGAATAGACCCAAAATGCACCCAAATAGACCCAAAATGCACCCAAATAGACCCAAAATGCACCCAAATAGACCCAAAATGCACCCAAATAGACCCAAAATGCACCCGAATAGACCCAAAAGGTACCTGAATAGACCCAAAATGCACCCAAAGAGACTCAAAATGCACCCAAAGAGACCCAAAAGGCACCCAAAGACTCAAAATGCACCCAAATAGACTCAAAAGGTACCCAGAGACTCAAAATGCACCCAAAGACACCCAAAATGCACTCAAAGAGACCCAAAATACACCCAAATAGACTCAAAATACACCCAAATAGACCCAAAATACACCCGAAGAGACCCCAAAACACAAATACAGCTCAAATACACCCAAATGCACCTCAATACACCCCAATAGACCCCAAATACACCCCAATACAGCTCAAATACACCTAAATAAATACACCTCAACACACCCCAATACAGCTCAAATACACCCAAGATAGACCCCAATAGACCCCAAATGCAGCTCAAATACACCTCAATACAGCCCAACTGATGCCAAACACACCCTAAATATAGCTCAAATGCACCCCAACAGACCCCAAATACACCTAAATAAACCCAAAATACACCCTAAACACACAACAGACCCCAAATACAGCTCAAATACACCCCAATAGACCCCAAATACACCCAAATAGACCCAAAATACACCCCAATGGGCCCCAAATACAGCTCAAATACACCCCAAAACTCCCTAAACACACCCGTTGACCCCAAATACACCCAAAATAAACCCCAAATACACCCCAACAGACCCCAAATATAGCTCAAATACACCCCAAAAGACCCTAAATACACTGAAATAGACCCCAAATACACCCTAAACATACCCCAATAGACCCCAAATACACCCAAAATACACTCCAATAAACCCCAAATACACCTAAATAGACACAAAATACACCCCAATAGGCCCCAAATATAGCTGAAATACACCCCAAGACCCTAAATACACCCCAATAGACCCAAAATATTCCCAAAACACACCCCAAATATAGCTCAAATACACCCCAAAGACCCTAAATACACCCTAATAGGCCCCAAATACAGCTCAAATACACCCAAATACACCTCAATACAACCCAAATATACCTCAATACACCCCAAATACACCTCAATACACCTCAATAGACCCCAAATACACTTCAATACACCCCAAGTACACCTCAATTCACCCCAAATATACCTCAATAGACCCAAAATACACCTCAATACAGCCCAAATACACCTCAATACATCCCAATAGACCCCAAATACACCTCAATACACCCCAAATACACCTCAATACATCCCAAAAGACCCGAAATAAACCCCAAATACACCTCAATACACCCCAAATACCCCCAAATGACCCCAATACACCCCTAATACCATCCCCATATAAACACCCCTTAATGCCCCAGCCCCCCCCAGTCACGTGCCCGGTGGGGGGGGGCAGCAGATGGTGCTGGGGGGGCGGGGGGGTCATTAAAGCCGCATTAATGTCGGGGTTAATTAATCACAATGGGGGCGAGGGGCGGCAAGATCCCCTCCCCCCCCCCGTGTCCTCCCATTGAACTCAATGGGGGGGTGATAACTACAACTCCCATCATGCCCCGCGGCAAAAAAAAAGGACAACATCCGGGTACTACAAAACCCAAAGCCTTTTAATGTGGGGGGGAGGGAAGGGATGGGGGGGATTTTGGGGGCATTCCCCCTTTCTTGGGGGCCGTTTCTATAATTTAAATAACTTAAAGCAAGAAAGAAAAACCACCAAAATCACCAAAACCCCCCCAAAAAGCCAAAGCTGGAGGTGGGAGCTGACAGGGACCATTTATTCCAACCCCCCCCCAAAACAGGGATATTGGGGACCCCCCCTTGGAGTATTTCACCCCCCAATGGGGTACTTGGGGCACCCTAAAGGCTTATTTGATGTCCCCAAGGGGTATTCTAGGCCCTCAATGGGGTATTTACGGCTTCCAAAGGGGGGGGGGGTTATTTGAGGCACCCTAAAGGGGGTTATTTGCCCCTTCTGGGGGTAATTTGGGGCCCCAAAGGGGGTATTTGATGTCCCCCAGGGGGTATTTAGAGCCCCAAGGGGGTGCACAATGGGTGCCAAGGCCGATGTCACCCCCATGGGGGTACCTGCAGCTCCCTATGGGGGGTATTTAGAGCCTCAAGGGGGGGGTGTGTGGGGGGGCAAGTAAAGCCTATGGGGGGGGTATTTCACCAAAGGGGGGTATTTGATGCCTGCCCCCCCCCCGGGGGTACCCACAGCTCCAGAGAGGAACTGGTACCCATTGGGGGGGGTTTGGGGCTCCCCAAAGAGCATTACCCCCCCCAAAGGGGTGCTTGATGCCCATAGGGGGATATTTAAAGCCCAAAGCGTGGGGGGGAATTTAAACCCCATGGGGGGGGGTGATTTGGGGCTCTCCAAGGGGTATTCTCCCCCCCCCCCAAGGGATGCTTTATACCCATGGGGGGGTATTTCAACCCCATAGGGAGGGTACTTGAACCCCAAAGGGGGGGGGTATTTGGGGCTCTCCTAGGGCTATTCCCCCCCCCAAGGGGTGTTTTATGCCCATAGGGGGGTATTTAAACCCCAAAGAGGGGGGGTATTTAAACCACAAGGGGGGTATTTAAACCCCAACGGGGGGGGTATTTGGGGTGCCTTCCCCCCCCTTCAAAGCCTCCTTAGGGCCCGTTTCTTGTCCACTTTCTTCTTGGGGGGGGCAGGTTTCTTGTCCCTGTCCCCCGCGTGCTTCTTGGGCTGGGGCCCGTCGGGGGGCAGTGGGGGTGGGGGTTGGGGGGGCCCGGATGTGGAGGGGGCGTCGGGGGGGGCGCGGGGGGGGCCCCGGGCGTGGATCTCGGTGAGGAGGCGGGCGCGGGCCGCGTACTCCTCGTAGTTCTCCAGCAGGAGCCTCCCGGCCTCCTCGTTGAGGGCGGATTCGGGGTTCGGGTGGATCAGGAGGCACTTGATGGTCTGGGGGGGGGGACACGACAGGGGGGTGAAGCCTTGACATGGGGATAAATACCCCCCATCCCATAATATACCCCCTTAGGGTAACCCCCCATCCCATAATATACCCCCTTAGGGTAACCCCCCATCCCATAATAACCCCCTTAGGGTAACCCCCCATCCCATAATATACCCCCTTAGGGTAACCCCCCATCCCATAATATACCCCCTTAGGGTAACCCCCCATCCCATAATATACCCCCTTAGGGTAACCCCCCATTCCATAATATACCACCCTTAATGTAACCCCCCCATCCATAATATACCCCTTAATGTAACCCCCCATCCCATAATATACCCCCTTAGGGTAACCCCCCATCCCATAATATACCCCTTAGGGTAACCCCCCATCCCATAATATACCCCTTACCCTTAATGTAACCCCCCCATCCCATAATATACCCCCTTAGGGTAACCCCCCAATCCATAATATACCCCTTACCCTTAATGTAACCCCCCCATCCCATAATATACCCCCTTAGGGTAACCCCCCATCCCATAATATACCCCCTTAGGGTAACCCCCCATTCCATAATATACCCCTTACCCTTAATGTAACCCCCCCACCCAAAAACCCCAAACCCCCCACCCAAAACCCCAAACACCCCATCCCATAATATACCCCCTTAGGGTAACCCCCCATCCCATAATATACCCCTTACCCTTAATGTAACCCCCCCATCCCATAATATACCCCCTTAGGGTAACCCCCCATTCCATAATATACCCCTTACCCTTAATGTAACCCCCCATCCCATAATATACCCCCTTAGGGTAACCCCCCATCCCATAATATACCCACCCTTAATGTAACCCCCCCATCCCATAATATACCCCTTAGGGTAACCCCCCATCCCATAATATACCCCTTACCCTTAATGTAACCCCCCCATCCCATAATATACCCCCTTAGGGTAACCCCCCATCCCATAATATACCCCTTACCCTTAATGTAACCCCCATCCCATAATATACCCCCTTAAACCCCCCATCCCAAAAACCCTAGGGTAACCCCCCATTCCATAATATACCCCTTACCCTTAATGTAACCCCCCATCCCATAATATACCCCCTTAGGGTAACCCCCCATCCCATAATATACCCCCTTAGGGTAACCCCCCATCCCATAATATACCCCCTTAGGGTAACCCCCCATTCCATAATATACCCCTTACCCTTAATGTAACCCCCCCATCCCATAATATACCCCCTTAGGGTAACCCCCCATCCCATAATATACCCCTTACCCTTAATGTAACCCCCCCATCCCATAATATACCCCCTTAGGGTAACCCCCCATCCCATAATATACCCCTTACCCTTAATGTAACCCCCCCATCCCATAATATACCCCCTTAGGGTAACCCCCCATCCCATAATATACCCCCTTAGGGTAACCCCCCATCCCATAATATACCCCCTTAGGGTAACCCCCCATTCCATAATATACCCCTTACCCTTAATGTAACCCCCCCATCCCATAATATACCCCCTTAGGGTAACCCCCCATCCCATAATATACCCTTAATGTAACCCCCATCCCATAATATACCCCCTTTAGGGTAACCCCCCATCCCATAATATACCCCTTACCCTTAATGTAACCCCCCCATCCCATAATATACCCCCTTAAACCCCCACCCAATATACCCCTTACCCTTAATGTAACCCCCCCATCCCATAATATACCCCCTTAGGGTAACCCCCCATCCATAATATACCCCCTTAAACCCCCCACCCCCCCCAGGGTAACCCCCCATTCCATAATATACCCTTACCCTTAATGTAACCCCCCCATCCATAATATACCCCCTTAGGGTAACCCCCCATCCCATAATATACCCCCTTAGGGTAACACCCCATCCCATAATATACCCCCTTAGGGTAACCCCCCATCCCATAATATACCCCTTACCCTTAATGTAACCCCCCCATCCCATAATATACCCCCTTAGGGTAACCCCCCATCCCATAATATACCCCTTACCCTTAATGTAACCCCCCATCCCATAATATACCCCCTTAGGGTAACCCCCCATCCCATAATATACCCCACCCTTAATGTAACCCCCCCATCCCATAATATACCCCTTAGGGTAACCCCCCATCCCATAATATACCCCTTACCCTTAATGTAACCCCCCCATCCCATAATATACCCCCTTAGGGTAACCCCCCATCCCATAATATACCCCTTACCCTTAATGTAACCCCCCATCCCATAATATACCCCCTTAGGGTAACCCCCCATCCCATAATATACCCCCTTAGGGTAACCCCCCATCCCATAATATACCCCCCCATTCCATAATATACCCCTTACCCTTAATGTAACCCCCCCATCCCATAATATACCCTTAGGGTAACCCCCCATCCCATAATATACCCCTTACCCTTAATGTAACCCCCCCATCCCATAATATACCCCCTTAGGGTAACCCCCATCCCATAATATACCCCTTAGGTAACCCCCCATCCCATAATATACCCCCTAAGTAACCCCCCATCCCATAATATACCCCCTTAGGGTAACCCCCCATTCCATAATATACCCCTTACCCTTAATGTAACCCCCCCATCCCATAATATACCCCCTTAGGGTAACCCCCCATTCCATAATATACCCCTTACCCTTAATGTAACCCCCCCATCCCATAATATACCCCCTTAGGGTAACCCCCCACCCCATAATACACCCCTTACCCTTAATATAACTGTCCCATCCCATAATATATGCCTTACCTCTAATGTAACACTTAATATGTATCTCTGCATCCCATAATATACCCTTTACCCCTAATATAACGCCCCCATCCCATCCCATCCCATCCCATTCCCATTCCCAGTGGATACCAGCAGGACGTGGCGCAGCCCCAGTTCCGCTCTCCAGTCCCTCCGCAGCACATTGACGCAGATCTCCCCCATCCCATCCCATCCCATCCCATCCCATCCCATTCCCAGTGGATACCAGCAGGACGTGGCGCAGCCCCAGTTCCGCTCTCCAGTCCCTCCGCAGCACATTGACGCAGATCTCCCCCATCCCATCCCATCCCATCCCATCCCATCCCATTCCCAGTGGATACCAGCAGGACGTGGCGCAGCCCCAGTTCCGCTCTCCAGTCCCTCCGCAGCACATTGACGCAGATCCCCCCATCCATCCCATCCCATCCCATCCCATCCCATTCCCAGTGGATACCAGCAGGACGTGGCGCAGCCCCAGTTCCGCTCTCCAGTCCCTCCGCAGCACATTGACGCAGATCTCCCCCATCCCATCCCATCCCATCCCATCCCATCCCATCCCATCCCATCCCATCCCATCCCATCCCATTCCCAGTGGATACCAGCAGGACGTGGCGCAGCCCCAGTTCCGCTCTCCAGTCCCTCCGCAGCACATTGACGCAGATCTCCCCCCCGGGCCCCACATTGGGGTGAAAGATCTTGGTCAGGAAGAATCCCTTGGGAGGAGCCGCCGGGAATTCCTTGCCCAGCACCAGCTTCATCCGGAAGAGCCCCCCGGCGTATGGGGTGCCCTCTGTGGGGGGGAAAGGGAGCCAATGGGATGGGGTCATGGGGAGCCAATGGGATGGGGTCAGGGGGAGCCAATGGGATGGGGTCAGGGGGAGCCAATGGGATGGTGTCAGGGGGAGCCAATGGGATGTGGTAGGGGGAGCCCAATGGGATGGGGTCAGGGGGAGCCAATGAGATGGGTAATGGGGAGCCAATGGGATGTGGTCAGGGGGAGCCAATGGGATGGGGTCAGGGGGAGCCAATGGGATGGGGTCAGGGGGAGCCAATGGGATGGGGTCATGGGGAGCCAATGGGATGGGGGTCATGGGAATCCAAGGGTATGGGGTCATGGGGATCCAAGGGTATGGGGTCATGGGGATCCAAGGGGATGGGGTCAGGGGGACCCAATGGGATGGGGTCAGGGGGATCCAATGGGAAGAGGTTATAGGGATCCAATGGGATGGGGTCACGGGGATCCAATAGCATGGGGTCAGAGGGATCCAATGGGATGTGGTGTAGGGAAGGGATGGAATGGGGTGGTCTTTGCTATTGGTCATGGGTATCCAATGGGATGGGGTCATAGAGACACAACGGGATGGACGTCATGGGGCTCCAATAGGAAGGGGTCCCAGAGTCAATGGGGGACGGTTTGGGGGCCTCTGTCTGGGCTGGGGGGGACTGGGGGTGCTTGGGTGCACTAGGGGGGGTTTGAGGTGCATTGGGGATGTTTTGGGGTGCATTAAGGGGTATTGGGGTTGTATTGGGGGATGGTTTGGGGTGCACTGGGGAGTAACTGGGGTGCATGGGGGTGTATTGGGGTGTTTTGGGGTGCATTAAGGGGTACTGGGGTTGTATTGGGGGTTTGGGGTGCACTGGGGATGGTTTGGGGTGCATTAAGGGGTATTGGGGTTGTATTAGGGGGTTTGGGGTGCATAGGGGAGTAATTGGGGTGCATTAGGTGTTTGGGGTGCATTAAGAGGTATTTGGGTTGTATTAGGGGTGCTTTGGGGTGCATTGGGGTACATTGGGGTGCACTGAGGGGTGCACTGGTGGCTACTGGGGTGCAGTGGGGTGCACTAGGCTGCACTGGGGTACATTGGGGGTGCATTGAGCTGCACTGGGGTGCACTGGTGGCTATTGGGGTGCACTGGGGTACATTGGGGTGCATTGGGGTGCACTGGGAGGTACATTGGTGTACACAGGGGTGCAGTGCGGGTGCACTGGGGTACATTGGGGAGCAGTGGGGGCACATTGGGGTGCACTGGGGTACATTAGGGGTGCAGTGGGGGTGCATTGGGGTACATAGGGGTGCATTGGGGTAAACGTGGGTGCAGTGGGGTACATGGGGGTACATTGGGGAGCAGTGGGGCTGCATTGGGGTTACATTAGGGTTCATTGGGGGTACATTAGAGTGCATTGGGAGTGCATTGGGGGTATATTAGGGTGCATTGGGGTACGCTGGGGTGCACTGGAGTGCATTGAGGGTACATTGGGGTTCATTGGGGGTACATAGGGGTTACATTAGGATTCATTGGGGTTACATCAGGGTTCATTGGGGTTCATTGGGGGTGCATTGGGGGGTGCATTGGGGTACATTGGGGTGCACTGTGATGTATTGGGGTGCACTGGGGGTACATGGAAGTGGATTAGGGTGCACTGGGGATGCATTGGGGGTACATTGGGGTACATTGGGGGTACATTGGGGGGTGCATTGGGGGTACATTGGGGGTGCATTGGGGGTACATTGGGGGGTGCATTGGGGGTGCATTGGGGGTACATTGGGGGTGCATTGGGGGTGCATTGGGGGGTGCATTGGGGGTGCATTGAGGGTGCATTGGGGTGAATTGGGGGGGTGCATTAAGGCAGTGGGTTTGGGAGGTGCAGTGGGGGGGTGCATTGGGGGGTGCAGTGGGGGGTGCATTGGGGGGGGTGCAGTGGGGGTGTGGTTCGGGCCGTGTGACTGGGGGGTGCATTGGGGGGGTGCATTGGGGGGGTGCAGTGAGGGGGGTGCAGTGGGGGGGTGCAGTGGGGGGGTGCAGTGGGGGTGCAGTGGGGGGTGCAGTGGGGGGGTGCAGTGGGGGGTGCAGTGGGGGGTGCAGTGGGGGGTGCGGTGGGGGGGTGCAGTGGGGGGTGCAGTGGGGGGGGTTCCAATCAAGATCAATGAGAATACAATGGAGGAGGGATAGTACAATGAGAATACAATAGGAAGTACAATAGAAAATAAATGAAGATACAATGAAAATAAATGAAGATACAATGAGAATACAATAGAAAAATAAATAGAGAATACAATGAGAATACAATGAAATAAATGAGAATACAATAGAATACAATCAAATACAATAGAAAATAAATAAAAATCAATAGAAAATACAATAGAATACAATAGAAGATAAATAGAGGATACCAATAGAATACAATGAAGATACAATATAAAATCAATGGCAACAATGGAGAATTAAATAGAGAATACAATGGAATACAATCAAAATACAATCAAAATAGATGGAATACAATCAGAATACAATGAAATTGGATAAAAAACAATAGGTAACAATGGGAACCAATGGAATCAATGGGAACCAATGGGATTCAATGGAACTCAATCAAGATACAATAGAAAATACAATGGAATTAAATGAGAATACAATCAAAAATGATGGAATTAAATAGAGAATACAATAAAGGCATGCAATTAGAAATACAATGAAGATCAATAGCGAATACAATCGAGAATACAATGGAGTACAATGAGATACAATCCAAGATACAATGAGAATACAATCAAAGATACAATCAGAATACAATGGCAAGATACAATGGAGTACAATGGAGGTTCAATTGGAGTGCGGTGGATGCAGTGGGGGGTGCAGTGGGGGTGCAGTGGGGGGTGCGGTGGGGGGTGTGGTGTGGGGGGGTGCAGTGGGGGGTGAGGAATGGGGGGTGGGGTGGGGGGTAGGAGGGGGGGGTGAGGGGGGGGGTGCAGTGGGGGGGTGCAGTGGGGGGTGCAGGGGGGGGTGCAGTGGGGGTGCAGTGGGGGGTGCAGTGGGGGGTGCAGTGGGGGGTGCAGTGGGGGTGCAGTGGGGGGGTGCAGTGGGGGTGCAGTGGGGGGTGCAGTGGGGGGTGCATTGCTCTCGTACCGGGCCCCTCGATGGTGACCTGCACGTCGGTGACGTCCTCATCGTTGGGGCAGAGCTTGATGCCGGCGGGGGGGTCGGCGCTGAGCAGGGAGAGCTCCCGGTAGAGCAGGCGCAGGATGTGGGGGGGGAGGTTCTCCACGTTCGAGGTCTGGGGGGGAGAGGCCTCAGAGACCCCATGGACACCAAACACCCCCCCCAATGGACCCCAAACACACCCCCCATGGACCCCAACACCCCTCCATGGACACCAAACACCCCCCATGGACCCTCCCTGCACCCCTAACACCCCCCCATGGACCCCTAAAATCCTCCCATGGACCCCTAACACCGCCCCATGGACCCCTAAAATCCTCCCATGGACAACAAACACCCCCCACTGACCCCCCCAATGGACCCCAAACACTCCCCGCCCCATGGACCCCCCCATGAACCCCTAACACCCCCCATGGACCCCTAACACCCCCCCACTGATGGGCAATGAGCAGGGGGTGCCCACTGCTGACACTGGGGGCAATGGGAGCTGCCCCCCCCCAGGTACTCACCTGCCAGGCACCACCACGAGTCTCCTGTGGAGGACACACACAAGGGATGAGGCCCAAATCACCCCACAAGCCCCTCAAATCACCCCAAAATCACCCCCTAACCCTCTTAAATTATCCCCAACCCCGCCAGATCACCCCAAAACCACCCCATAACCTTCTTAAATCATTCCAAACCCCCCAAATCACCCCAAAACCACCCAAAATCACCCCCAAACCACCCCAAATCCTCCCATAACCGCCATAATCACCCTAAACTCCCCCAAGCCACCCCAAAACCCCCAAAACACCCCATCACCCTCTTAAATCATCCCAACCCCCCCAAATCACCTCAAATACCCCTCAATTCACCCCAAAACCACCTCAAACCCTCCCATAACCCCAATCACCCTAAACTCCCCAAAACCCCCAAATCACCGTAAAACACCCTCAAATCACTCCAAAAACACCCAAATCACCCCAAAACCACCCCAAACTCTCCTATAAACCCCAATCACCCTAAACTCCCTCAAATCACCCTAAAACGCTCTCAAATCACCCCAAAACACCCTCAAATCACTTCAAAAACACCCAAATCACTCCAAAACCACCCCATAACCCTCTTAAATCTCAAACCCCCCAAATCACCCCACAACCCCCTTAAATCACCCCAAAACCACCCCAAACACTCCCACAACCCCCCAATCACCCTAAACTCTCCAAAACCCCCTCAAATCACCTCAAAACCACCCCACAACCCTCTTAAATCATCCCAAACCCCCAAATCACCTCATAAACCCCTTAATTCACCCCAAAACCACCCCAAACCCTCCCATAACCTCCCAATCACCCTAAACCCCCCAAACCCCCCTCAAATCACCCCAAGCCCCCCTCAAATCACCCCAAAATCCCCCAATCACCCTAAACTCCCCCAAACCCCCTGAAATCACCCCAAAACCCCCAAATCCCCCCACAGCCTCCTCATAAGCGCCCCCCCTCCTTTCCTCTCACCATAGCGGCCGGGCCTGCCCGGGGCTCCCCCCAGGGCGGGTGCGGAGGGCACCGGACGCTGCCCCGAGGGGCTCCGGTTCCGGTTCGGTTCCGGTTCGGTTCCGGTTCGGTTCCGGTTCGGGTTCCAAGCGCGGAGCAGCCGCCGCTGTCGTTACCGCCCGCCCGCCGCGCTGAGCCTCTCCGCGAGCCCCGCCCGCTTTTAGCGGCCCCCAGCGCGAGCCAATGGGAGGTGGAGGGCAGAGGCGCGGACCAATGGGGAGAGAGGGAAGGGGCGGGAGCTGAGCGGGGATTGGTGCCCCCTGGGAGGAAGAGGATGGGCGGGGAGGGAGCAGCGGGCTGAGCGCCGTAACGGTCGGCGGAAGGGGCGGAACCTGGAGGTTTAAAAGGAAGGATTGGCCAATGGGAGGCGATGGAAGAGGGAGCGAGAGTGTGGTACTTCCGCTGGCAGCGGGGAGGCGGGGTTCGGCTATGACGGGCGGACCAAGCAGCCAATCAGACCGCGAGATTCGGGAGCGCCCCGCCCCACAACCCCTCGGCCAAAGCCCCCCCCTCCGCTCCATTTCACCCCCCCATTGGACAACCCCAAATGAGTCACGTGGGCAGGAAACGTCACTTTATTCCCCTCCCCCATCGTTCCTCCCCTCTCGCGGGGGGGGGGCCCTGGGCGGAGGAGGGGGAGGGTGTTGGGGGGGGGTTCTCGAGGGGGGCGGGGCTCTAAGGCACGTGGCCCCTCCCTCCGCCTCGCGCAGGGGTCACGGGGGGGTCACGGGGACCGCCCCTCCCCCATTGTATGGCTTCGATCTGGGAGGGGGGGGAGGGAGGGGCTGTGACGTCACGGAAGGGGCTTACATAATCAGAGCACTCGACTGGGGGTGGTGACGTCATAAAGGGGGAGGAGTTAAAAACAGGAAGTCTCTCTCCCCGGGTTGGGGGGGGTGGGGAGGGGGAGAGAGGTGACATCATCAAAAAAGCCCCCGCCCCGTGACGTCATCGGGACGAGGGCGGAGTCTTGGCAGTGAGATCGCTGTGACGTCATACCCCAGTGGTGACGTCATGGCGGCAGGGCAGGGCGGGGGCCACAGTGCTGACGTCATCGGATGGCTGTGACGTCATCGGCTGCCGAGTGTGACATCACCCATTTCCGGAGCAATGACATCAAGTGATGCGATTGGCTGCCGTGCTGAAGGGGCTGTGACATCATTGGCTGCTCAGGGGGGAGGCTGTGACATCATTCAGTCCGAGGTTGTGACATCACCGTGACATCATCAGCCGCTAGGACCTCTCCAGGGGTGACATCAGCCCAACCTGCGGCCTCATTGGCTGCCAAGGGTTGTGACATCACCCCCGGGCTGTGACGTCACTCCTGGGCTGTGATGTCATTGCCTGGGGGTGGGGGTGGAGAACCCGGGGGGGGCAA